CAAACACACGCTCATAAAGCCTTACCAGATGCGCGTTCATTCCTCTCCACGGCGCCGCTGAACGTTCTTCACCATATATAACTTGTAATATGATTATCATAGACTGATATTATCCGAGCCGCGTGTTCAGTAATCTTTCCGTGAGGGAAACTCGCCTTCAAAACACTGAGTCCACAAACTACAGCCCCCAATGTACAGCGTACATTCCCGGATGTGAAGACCCCCCTCTCCCCCCTCTAGTGACACAGAGGTGTCAAATTTCACGGCTCTGAAATGGCCGCTGAGTTGACAGACTGTAATCTGACCAATTGCAGTCCACAAATGACCACAGATCTCTATAACATCAGACGCGCTGGCTGTGCACGCTTATGATATGGAAAGCGCGTTTCCCCCAGACGAGCGTCTATTGCGCAATCTGGACAAAACGCTATATATCTCACCGATGGAAGCACGCAGAAACGTGAAAATGGTCTTGTTTGAAAGAAGAGATCCTAATACAAAAGATAATATAGAGTATATAGATATTTGTATCTGTTTGCAGCTGACTGAAGCAGTGCTACGAGTATAAATGTAAATTCGCTCAGAGGTGACAAAATTTTACATCGCGATTCTATAGAAGATAATTTGATCTGTGATTGTCACACAATGAAATAATCTACATCGTCAAATTTCCGAGAATGAGAGCTTTCTTGTGATATATGACTTGACTTTTTTGTGAAAAATATATAAAATACACATTCTTCGTAAAAATTATTCGCAATGGTTAGGCGGAAATTCGTGTGTGGGACGAATACATTTCTAAGCTTAATTTTACTGCTTTATGAATATAAAAACCAAAAGGAATGGTATTCTTTGTAAAGCAGACACTCCAAGCTTTCAAATGAACCCATATATGGGCTGATACCATATAAGGAAGGCTATGTAAATGAAGCATAAACATTTTTAATGCGATTTTGGACCCGTATCCGGGTCCGCAGAGTTTAACTGGTTTTAATGTAAGGAGGCACAAACTGAAAACATTTAGTGAGTAAAGAGATTTCAAGTGTAATTTATGCCCCCTGCTGGTGGAATTATTATTGTAATTTTATTTTCTTAGGGGTTGTAGAGTGCAGCTTGTCCATTATTCGACTAGAACTAACTAACTGTTGTATAAAAGTGTTCAAATGCAATTTGAGCGAATATTCTGTTAATGGGTGTTGATATGAAGTGTGACTTAAGTGACTGTCTCTGTTGTTGCTGGTAGCGGAGACAGAGCATGCGCAGAGAGTCCCGGATGCAGAGTCGGCCCAGCAAATGAGGATGAGAGAGAGACAACGATTCTTTGAGGAGGTCTTTCAACACGACGTGGATGTCTACCTTTCCTCTGCACACCTGCAGATAGATTATAAGAGACGTGAGTTTGAACACACACATACAGTAAATGGGTGACTCTTTTCATTTTTATAAATAATATTATATAACAATTTAACTGTTTCAAAATGTTACATTTTGCCAGAATTTCGTAATTGTACTTAAAAAGTCCTTTAAAACTATGACAAACTATTGATACATTTATTCTTTATTTATTTATTTTTTGGAAAATTTAAAAAATAATTTTATGAACTAATTTTAGAAAAAAAAAAACTTTTAAATATATATATATATATATATATATATATATATAAAAGCTGTCATTGCTACACATGCCAAGTATTTCAGAGAGAGGGGAGAGAGAGAAAAGAAAGACAAAAAAAAAGAAAAGTGACAATGAAATATAATTAAATAAAACACTGACAGCAAGCTAACTTGTTGTATTAGCTCCGAATTGTCATTACCATCACACATCGTCAATATTAATAGATCAATATCACAGATTATTATAGCAAAATCCATTTGTTCAATATGATCTTTATTCTAAGATATGTGATGAAATAGATGAAACAAGCAAACATACGCAAGATTATAAGTAGACAAATACACCACATTCACCTCCAATAATTGTCTTTTTATCTAAAATGCTGTGTTTGACCCTCCTATTGCAGCTCCCTTAGGAAGTATTTCATCCATGGAGGTGAACGTTGATATGCTAGAACAGATGGACCTGATGGACATCTCTGATCAGGAGGCCTTGGATGTCTTCTTCAGTGCCAGCGGAGAGGAAGGATCACTGACGTCCTCTCTTCCAGGTACATACTCCAAATCAGTCTAAATGGCCATTCACTTTAATTGTGCATCAACAAGTTTTTATAGGTTGCTAGTTGGTGTTCCTGCTTGACTGCAGTATCTGATCAGGTGGCAGGTAATATGAGATCCACTATTCCATATGGTAATTGCATAAAGTAGTAACTCAACTGAACTTGATTGCATTGCCAACAGTCTCTGTTGTTCATGTCACCTGAAACTGACAATTTCTGGTCACTTTACCGGCAATCTAAAAATGTACATTGTTTCCCAACCATGCACAAAATTTCCTGTAGAATGCAAAGTGGTCATTTTTTCTGTCTTCACTCAAAGCTAAACCCTGCTCAAAGTGGTAAAGTTACTGCCAGTAAGATATATACACAGTTGTGGTCAAAATTTTACATACACTTTGCAGTATCTGCAAAATGTTAATTATTTGACCAAAATAAGAGGGCTCATACAAAATGCATGTTATTTTTTATTTAGTATTGACCTGAATAAGATATTTCACATAAAAGACGTTTACATATAGTCCACAAGAGAAAATAATAGTTGAATTTATAAAAATGACCCCATTCAAAAGTTTACATACGCTTGATTCTTAATACTGTGTTACCTGGATGATCCACAACTGTTTTTTATTTATTTATTTTTTTTATAGTTGTTCATGAGTCCCTTGTTTGTCCTGAACAGTTAAACTGCCCGCTGTTCTTCAAACAAATCCTTCAGGTCCCACAAATTCTTTGGTTTTCCAGCATCTTTTGCTTATTTGAACCCTTTCAACAATGACTGTATGGTTTTGAGAGCCATCTTTTCACACTGAGGACAACTGAGGGACTCAAATGCTCACTGATGCTCCAGAAGGAAACACGACGCATTAAGAGCCTGGAGGCGAAAACATTTTGAATTTGAAGATCAGGGTAAATTGAACTTTTTTTGTCTTCTGGGAAACATGTAAGTATCTTCTGTAGCTTCTGAAGGGCAGTATACTAAGTGATAAAAAAAAAAAAGATATTTAGGCAAAATAAGAAAAATGTACACATCTTCATTCTGTTCAAAAGTGTACACCCCTGGCTCTTAATGCATCGTTTTTCCTTCTGGAGCATCAGTGAGCGTTTGAACTTTTTGTAATAGTTGCTTAAAAAAGAAGAAGAAAAAAAAATAAAACGTTGTGGATCATCCAGGTAACGACACAGTATTAAGAATCAAGCGTTTGTAAACTTTTGAGTGGGGTAATTTTTATAAATTCAACTATTATTTTCTCTTGTGGATTATATGTAATGTAATATTATGTAAAATATATGTCTTTTATTTGAAATATCTTATTCAGGTCAATACTAAATAAAAAAAAATAACATGCATTTTGTATGATTTGTATTATTTAAATAATTAACATTTACCCCTGAACTTAACTGTCAGTGGGGCATGAGATCAGATCATAAGAAAACATATGAATGACTGTTCACATGTATGAATTCATGCCGTGAGAGTGTTAATTAGCATACAGAGCTAAAGAATGTGACACAACAAATATAGCAACCTTGGATGTGTTCAGACTAGCATGCCAGCCACAAAACAATATCAGTCATTTTCAATGAGTGATAGAGACCACCACTGACAATAGCTGGATTTTATGCACACGAACAGTGTGATGCAGTGAGCACTGAAGTGCTGACAGTGATTTGCCTGATACCGCTGGACACTGCAGTCAAGCTGAAATGTCTACTAGCAAGCACGATTTCTTTCTCAAACCAGTTAAGTGCAAACCCCATCCCACAGCCAATTTCACTAGTCAGTTAATTCATGCTGTCACCTGTCATGAAACGTTCAGACTATAGAAAAATCATGGATTAATCCACTAATAAGTGGATGCATGAGTCGCAACAAACAATAATGTTGACTATCAGGATGAGCTACTAACGCTTGTAACGGGGCTGACGAGACGTGAGACGTGTGGATCCATCTGCAGGCTTTATTAAAGAGACGTGGTAAACAGGCAGGGTCAAACAATGGCAAACAGGTATATGGCGGGCAAAACAAAAGAATAGTCCCAGGGCTAGCGTAGGTCACCGATCGGCAGACAGAATCACAGGGGCGAGACGAGAGGGAAAAATCCAGGAAAACAGGCAAAGATCAGAAACCGCGAAAACAGGCAAGGCAAGGCAAAACAAGGAAAACACAGAGACTCGGAATGGGGTACGGGCTAAACAATACTCAGCAGAGAAAGGTGGTAGGAGTGGGTGTTATACAGTGAGTGAGGTGATTAGAAACAGCTGTGTGCAATGAGTGCAATCAGTGCAGTGTGCAAATCGTGCAAAGAATGATGGGATATGTAGTCCGGGGTGCTATGCAACAGTTTGTGTTGTGCGAGAGTCAATGTAATGGAAAGGGTGACCTCTGGTGGTGAATAAACGGAAGTCCATGGACCGAATTCGTGACAACGCTAAATTAAGGTTAAGGTTTAGGTTAGGGGTTAGAATTTGTTTTAGCGATGTGCATGCAATCAGCACAATGACTGACATGACCAGGATTTTGAATTAACACTCACCAACCTGTCAAATGCAGATGAAAAACCCCATGGCCATACATTGGGTCATACATCGAAAGCTTTTAATTCAATGATTCAGAATCAGATTTAATAATAAATATATTGAAGCAGTGATTTCTGTTCATAATCTCATTTATTTCTGATGTTGGCCATTTAAACGTCATTGTGTATCTGATGAAATTCAATTCAAGAAACCTAAATAACAACTATTTCATTATAGTATAGATGTTTTTTAGTCATGTCTGTGTGTTTAAATACTGGCTACCAGCAAAGGCGCTGCCATTGAGATGAACTGGAACTGATTGACACAGGTTTCTTTAGAATCGGCTGTGAGGTGGGGTTTTGTGCTTAACTGGTTTGGAGAAGAAAAAAAAAATCAAGGCAGTAATTTAAACACTGTTAGTGTGAAAATAACTTAAGGCTTTCACAAAGACAGGTGTGATTTCTCAGGAGACCTATTTCAGTAACGTTTCTCAGGTAGTATGAACATTTTCTACGTGGTCTTGCGTAAAAAAAATAGCTTAGAGCACTTTAACACTGTTGTTAAAGACAAAAAAGACTTTCTAGTAAAAACCCTTTTATTGTTAAACATTTTCCAGGGAAGTGTCATAAGACACAGTCACTCGTTATATGTTGAAGCCATGTGGTTGAGATCTAAGCATCACCAGCAAGTCATTAAGTCTTCTACACTGAGAAATGTCTTGTATATAAAATGGCTTAGCGAACAATCGTTTCCAATTGAATGAAATAAAACATCTTCTCCAGCTCTTGGCCACACTGACATAGAAGAGGATGGACTGCGGAGAAGTGACGTGTCCTTGAGAATTGCTGACCCTTGTGAGATCAAATCCCGTATGTTGTCCACTTCCTCCAGCTCCACCTGTGACAGTCAGGCCTCCAATGAGGACGGATCGAACACTCCTATCGTTCAATCAGATGATGAAGACGTGCATGAAGATAGCCTGTTACGAACAGGAGCATCCACAGCCAACAATGCCACAAAAGAGCAGTCTGCCCTCTCATTATAAACTGCCTTCTCATTAATTACTGACGGTTTGGGAAGTGTAACATGTCTAGGTTGAGACTCTTTCATGGGTGGGTTGACCGGTTTTAGCCATAAATCAATCTACCAAAGACCTTCATAAAGGCTTGTGAAATTCAACTCATTCAAGGCCACTATTACTCCACACTGAGAGCGTCACGCTTTGACAGACCTGCAATTTTGTAATGTAATTTGCGTCTTACCAACATTTTACTGTATCTTTTGCTGTTCTTTGGAAATATAGGTTTAGAAATACCTACACACCACCAATATTTTGCAATGCTCTTTACAAAGATTGACGCTGCTCTGTAGAGAGACTACATTGAATTAAGGTGGTGAGTCTCATGAAAACATTTCCAAAAGGAAACAAAACATGAAATTATAATTTGCTTAAAGAAAATGAAGCCTCTTCTGTACATGATTAAAGGGATTTTACTTACTCTCATAACATTTGTTCATTTTCAAAACACAAATGTAGATTTTTTTTTAAGAAATCTGAGAGGTTTCTGTCTCTCAATTGAAAGCCCACGCAAAAAGGCATTGTAAGACTAATCCATATGAATTGAGTGGTTTAATTCAAGTCTTGATCGTTTTCATATAATAAACAGATTTAATTTAGGGGTCTGTTTGACTTTGTCAGTTGACTTTTTATGATAAAAAAAAAAAAGTACATAGCGTGAATCAAATAAGGTTAACAAGGAAGCTGAAATGTGCGTGCATTGCACAGCAGAACAAACCCCTAAGTGTTTGGCAGACACTTTTATTCGAAGCATTTTATAAAATGCATACCTTCAATGCAGTGTAAGTTCATGTATTCCCTGGTAATCAAACCCATGATCTTGGTGTTGTTAGCACTAAGGTCATGCACTACTACGTTTTTTTCTTTTTTCTTTTTTTTTGACATTTAAATCAATGCAGAAAGCAATACAACAAATATTAGCATGGTGTATAAATAAAGCATTAAATTAAAGTTTGTAAATGTTTTGTTAAATTCATGAGAATGTGATTTTGTTCATGAGAATTTAAAAGGAAAATGTGCTTAATTGTTATTTTAAAAATGTCACAATGAAAAAAAAATCTTAATGAGCATTAGTTTTCTTGTACTTATTTGCTTTTATTTACAGGACAATGGACAATAAAGTAGGGATGAGATGATGGGAATGGTCTCATGATAGCCCAGAATTAAACCTGGGTGCCCATGAGCTCTCCGACACACCTTGACTTGTGAGCATTTGCACAACCCACTGTTTCACAGCACTAACAGGCTTCATTTGCTTTATAGGCAAAAACAAATAATTTCTTTTGATTTGGGGCGAAATGTGACCCATTGTTGACAGTTTTTGTGAGGTTGACCTTAAAACTGGATGTGTCGGGTTCATATTTCAAGAACATCAGATCTGTAGTATTCTTTTTTTTTAATCACATGTTGGGAGTATGTCTTCCCTTCTGATGTCCACAGCACCCTATGCTTTGCTATCAAAATAAAGCCAACTGCCAGCTAAAGACTAATGGTGAAAATGAAACTGTTTATTTCCAAAATTTTAGTCAACAAGAAACTGACTGAAAAATGTGCGGGTCTGAGGTTAATACTAATCTCTTTAATCTCTTTAAATCAGTAAAGAGTTCTGATGCACCTTCTCATTCCTTGATTATGTTCTACCTTTCAGTATAGTAGTTGTAACGTTGGAGGCACGGGAACACAAGGCGAAGGAAATCAATTGCAGTAAGATTTATTAAGAAGATAAACAAAGAACTAACACAGGAAACATACAGGAACAAAGACTGACACTGAACCACAGGTAAACACCGGGTAACAAGGATAAAGTGATAAGGGGGAGGAGTCAATTAATCACCATAGCAACACACGAGGGTAACCAAGGGAACAAACAAGAGGGACAAGGCAACGAGATCTAAACAGGAGTGAATACAGAAACAAAGAGGAACAGAAAAAATACAAAATAGTCCATGACTGACACAAAAACAGGGGGAACACAGACTGGTTATCGTGACAGTAGTGAAGTCATCAAAATTGTTAAAAATGCAATTACAGTATAACAATTAAAATGTAAACATAGCATTGGTAATTTGTCCTGCATTAGTTTTTGATTAGTTTCAAATTAATTATGAAATGAAAAAAAATTGCAGTTACTGATTAACTAATAGAGGACTAATGAATATGTTATTACTTATTTATCTGTTAATCAGAGTTTCTTGTTAGTTAATAGCAGTCACTAGAATGGAAGTCGTGGTCTAATGGTTAGAGAGTCGGACTCACAACCAAAAGGTTGCGGGTTCGAGTCTCGTACCAGCAGGGATTGTAGGTGGGGGAGTGAATGTACAGCGCTCTCTCCCACCTTTGATACCATGACTGAGGTGCCCTTGAGCAAGGCACTGAACCCCCAACTACTCCCCGGGCACCGCAGCAAAAGAATGGCTGCCCACTGCTCCGGGTGTGTGTTTACGGTGTGTGTGTGCTCACTGCTGTGTGTGTGCACTTTGGATGGGATAAATGCAGAGCACTAATTCCGAGTATGTTCACGTCACGTTAATATTGTATTACTCATTTGTTCCAGTGTAGTTATTGATTAGTAAGAATAGTCACAAAATAATTAATCACAACATTTTTCATTGTGACTCTAATGTGTGAAGTTCTTGAAATGCACTACATTTTTGTAGTGCTCAGACATTTGCAGAATCTGTGGAATTCACTTAACAAACTCCAACCATTACCACATGATTGTAAACTCACCTCAGACTGCACATTTAGGCCTATAAAAATGACAGGCAAGCAAGTGTACTTGTGAAAAGTGATAGTAAGTTCCTGAACTGCAGTCTGTTAATGTGATTGCTCTTGGCTGCCACAACCAAAATGACAGTAATGTAGTGACAGGAATGTAGTGCGGTGTCATTCAAGCAAATGTTATTCAAAGACAAACAAAAAAGAAAAGGCTAAAAATATGTAAAATGGTGTTTTGACATTTTATAGTTTATCATATAAAGGGTTGGGCTTACTTTTGAGAGGATTTTTGCATCTTATAAAACATTAAAATTGTGGTATATCAATAGAGTACAGAAATATCAATGAGTATATTAGATAGCAACTTATCTTTTGAAAATCATATTTCCCATGTATTAGACAGCAACTTGTCTTTTGAAAATCATATTTCCCATGTTACAAAAACAGCATTCTTCCATCTTAGAAACATTTCCAAGTTATGTAACATGTTAACTGTTTCTGATGCAGAAAAGCTAGTTCATGCATTCATGACCTCTAGACTGGACTATTGTAATGCGCTGCTAGGTGGTTGTCCTGCATCTTCAATAAACAAGCTACAGGTAGTCCAAAATGCAGTGGCTAGAGTCCTTACCAGGTCAAGAAAATATGATCATATTACCCCAATTTTACAGTCTCTGCTCTGGCTACCTATTAAGTTCTGTATCAGTTACAAAATATTATTACTTACTTATAAGGCCCTTAATGGGTTAGCTCCTGCGTACCTAACTAGTTTTCTACCATGCTACAATCCATCACGCTCCCTAAGGTCGCAAAACTCTAGACTTTTGGTATACCTAGGATGGCAAAATCCACTAAAGGAGGTAAAGCTTTTTCGCATTTGGCTCCCAAACTCTGGAATAGCCTTCCTGATAACGTTCGGGGTTCAGACACACTCTCTCTGTTTAAATCTAGATTAAAGACACATCTCTCTGGCCAAGCATTTAAATAATGTTATATCAGATTAAATGCACAGTATTATTCTTTAGCTTGGGTTAAACAAATCATTTTTGCTTGGTTGGAACAGCAGCTACACTAATTATGTCTCTATTTGTTTCTCTGTTTTTGCCATGGGATTGACATCCCGTGATAACTAGGATTTACACAATCTTCAGTCTGGATCCAGAACACCTGTAAAGAGATGATGCCAACCCTTCGGAGGACCTCAGATGATGCCAACCCTGAAACAACATACAGAACTGCCAAATATTGCTATAAGTTTGATTGTATCAGTGGTAACATACATCTTTGGATGCTTCTCCTTCAGTCATTTTGCAATGACTGGAGCCTTTAGCCAGGAGGTTGTGTCATCAGATGGTTACCAACGATCCTGAAGTGTTTCGACCCTTAACCATCACACTCTCCTGTTGGCGGGTCAGCAGTGGTGGCCAGCCACTACTCACTCCCTCCTGGCTGCCAGCTCAACTCCTTCCTCATGCTCCAAATCCAACAGGAGGCTCTCTCTGCTGCCTCCCCCAGTCTTCGCACTGCCTTCTTTCTCTCAGCCCCCCTCAGTCCAACGTCTATTATCAGCTTCCAGGCTGACTGGGCAGGGAAGCCCCTGCATCCCACCTCGACTGGGTACAACCATGTCTGCCAGCCTTTGTCCCTGCAGTCCTGCACCAGGTTTTCATAGCGTTTAGACTTCCTTTCAAATGCCTCCTCCCACCCCTCTTCCCATGGCACTGTAAGCTCCACTAGGATGATCTTTTTGCCTTCTGTGGAGAAAAGGACTGCATCGGGTCTTAAGGTAGTATGGACGACATCTGGGAACTGAAGCCTTATCTTCAAGTCTACCCTAAGCTCCCATGCTTGGGCAGACTGCAGGAGGCTAACCCTGGACTTATTGGGCCCTGGTGGCTTTGTCCCCTCCTTGACAAATGTTATACCAGGTGGCGGCTTGCTCTTATGTTGCCATTTCCTGGTCCTCTCCTGCTCTAGGATGTCAGCTAGCACAGTCAGTACTTTGTCATGGTGCCATCTGTATCTGCCCTGGAAAAGCGCGGTCTTGCATCCTGACAAGATGTGTGCCATCGTTCCCTTTTGCCCGCAGAGCTTGCATATTGGGTCGTCCCTCATCCCCCATCTGTGTAGATTCACAGGGGTTGGAAGGGTGTCATAGACGGCCCTAAGCAAGCAGGAGATCCAATATGGCTGGAGCCTCCAAAGGTCAGCCCATGTCACCTTCCTCTTGGGAAGATCCCACCTTGTCCAGGCTCCCTGGGATCCTAGCCCCGCAACCTTTGCCTTCCTCCGCTCTTCTTCTAGGCCCCTTACTTCAGCCTGGACCATGGCTCTCCTCTCCACAGGATTGGCTTTCTCCCACTCTTGGAAGTGGGTCATTCCCAGGCCTTGCCTTGCTGCTCCGATGATGTCTTTGAGCTTTAAGTTTCCTTCTGCTAGGGCCAGAGATGCTGAGGCCTCCCACTTTCTTCCTAACCTGGTTTTTATACCAGCTTCTCTGACCTTGCTCTCTCTTGAGTCCTGGAAGGTCATGGCCACCCTGCACTTTGCTACTTGGAACTCCTCAACCAGGGAAGAGAGGGGTAGTTGTAATTGCCCAGATCTGATGTACAGCCCAACTGATGTGAAGCCTGGAGGGATGCCCAGCCACCTTCTGAGGTGTGAGTTGATCTTATGTTCCACTCCTTCCACTGCTGTAAGTGGGACCTCATACACTGTCATCAGCCACATCAGACTGGGGAGCAGGCCATGTTGATAAAGCCATGCTTTAAACTTCCCTGGGAGTCCTGATTGATCAATTTTCTTCAGCCAACCCTCTGCTTGCTTCTCAGTGCTACGGACATTGTTGTGGTCCCTTAATGACTCATTGTACCACTTTCCCAGATACTTGATGGGATTGTCCTTGATGGAAGGGATGATCTCGCCTTGTATGACAAGATTGTACTTGAAGGAGATGTTACCCTTCCTGATGACCAAGCTCCTTGATTTTCTTGGCTTAAAAGTCATTCTGGACCATTTTGCCGCCTCATAAAGCTTTGTTAGAACCCACCTAGCCTGTACATGGGATGATGTTGTGATTGTAAGGTC